TAAGAGTTTGTACTTCTTTCAAGTTCCTAGAGGCCTGAATATTAATAACATCATGCACCTTCTCCAGGTTATCTATATCCCTCATTCCATTGCCAAATATCTCAAAAGCCTCCCTGATCGCACTCTTAACTTGCACTTGGTAGGGTTGAGCCTTATGCCAAAGTTTCATAGCGTGTTGAAGGTTTCTCGTAGGTTCGTCATGTGATCCCAAGCCTTCTTGTTTTTTTACTAACATATCATCAACATACACCTTCATTTTATGACTTATTTTCCCCTTGAACATTTTATCTACCAACCGCTGGTAGGTGGTGCCAGCAACTTTTAGTCCGAAAGGCATCACTACATAAGAATAAATGCCTTTGGATATCATAAAACTTACCCTCTTCTGGTCCTCCTCAGTTACAGGAAAATGGTGATATTCTTGGGAAGTGTCCATCATACTCATCAACTCACAACCAACTATGGAATTGACGAGTTGGTCTATTCGGGGCAGGGGATAGTAATCTTTGGGACAAGTTTTATTTAGGTCCCTAAAATCGATACACATTCTCCACTTCCCTTCCCCATTTTTCATCATGACTGAGTTCGACAACCATTCCGGAAGCTGGATTGGTCGAATATGGACTGCGCTGAGTAGCTTCTCCACTTATGTTTCAATTGCCACATCTAGCTTTGCTCCTAAACGTCTCCTATTCTAATTGATCGACATTACCATTATATCGATGTTTATCCTATGTTATGCGATTTCTGGGCTAATTCCCCTAAGGTCGTTAGTTGAAAAGGAAAAAATGTTCGCAGACCCTCTCAGCAAAGTTATCAGAGTGGCCTGAGTGTTGGTTGCCAGATTGCGCCTTACCTTGGTGACTTTGGCGGAATCTCCTTCAATTAGCTCAATTTCCATGAGTTCTAGTATCCATCCCTAATTCTTGCCTCTTTTCTCGGTGTGAGCATTTAGGTTGGCCATCATGTTGCATTTTCTTTCCTTGCGCCTTGGAGCTTTTCAGCATGACCTGGTATCACCTTCTAGACTGCAGTTGATCTCCCCTTACTTACCCAACCTCATCACCTATAGGAAACTTGATCATCATGCACTAAGTCGAGATGGCAGCCTAGAACAAGTTGAGACTAGGTCGCTCAAGTATAACATTGTATGCCAAGTTTGTGTTTACAACCAGGAAACAAATTGTTTTCACCTTCCTTTAGGGCGGTCCACCCAATGCTATAGATAGGCTAACTTCACCAATTAGGGTAACCTTATTTTTGGTAAAACCTCATAGAGCGATGTGTACCGGCTCGATTTTTACCTCCAAATCCATCTGTTATAAACACTTCCAAAAGATGATATCCATTGAACTCCATGTGTTTATGAACACCCTTTTAACGTAATAACATGCCACCTCTACAGTGATAACTAGTGCATCATTGTGCAGGGTGGAGATCCTCTAAAGATCCCCAATTCCAAATTTTAGTGTGACCTTGCTAGCTTGGGTTTTGACTTCTGCCACCTCATCGGTAGCCTCTTTTCCCCAATAGGTACTTTTTTTTTCATTGTGCAAGTCTCCATCTGTGGGGCCTTCCGCAATCATTTGGATCACCCCTTTATTTACAGGCCTATCAGCTTGCTCCTCTGCTCTCTTTTGCTTATCGCCTACCTCACGATCCTCTAGTCATTCTCGGTCTTTTAGAATGAACTCTTTCAAGATATGATCTCTAATGAGGCGTTCAATTTCATCATTTAGTTCCTGGCAAACATTGGTCGCATGGCTATAATATCGATGATATCTACAATACCGATCCTTTCCAGCAGAAAAACCTTTCTTCATGAGTTATAAAGGCTTTGGTTGAGTGACCAGCTTCGTCAACCCCCGCCTTTCCATAATTTTGAAAATTTTGTGTTGCAATGTGTTCAAAGGTTTATGATGTTCGTACGTTAGGCCTCTGAACCAATCCTCGATTATGGTCCCTTTTTGTTGTGTACTGCGGTCACCCTGACGAGGCCTCTCCTCCCTTTTCTTTTCCTTGGTCTTATCATTTTGAAAAAAGTCAGCCTCCACTTCCTCCTTATTAACATACTTGCTACACCTCTCCAGAAGCTCGTCAAATGATCTTTTTGGTCTCTTTGCCAATGAATCCCTACACTTTTCATGTCTCATAACTCGCGTGATGCCTCCAACCTTGATTTCTTCCTAGGCGGAGGGGACCTCCACATAATCCTTAGTGTATCTTAACACATATTGACATAAAGTCTCGCCCTCTCTCTGCTGCATATTTATCAGCGAGAGATACGTCTTCTCATGTTTTTTGGCACTCGAGAATTGATTCAAAAACACATAGCTGAATTTCTCAAAACTATGAACAAAAGTAGCTGACAACTGATGGAACCAGTCTTGAGCTGACCTTTTTAAGGTGGTTAGGAAGGCTCAGCAACTAATTGCATCGTTATATCTGTGTAACAATGCTAAGTTAGAATGATCTCAAGTACCTTGCAGGGTCTATTGAGCCATCATAAGATACGCTTAGCTCCCAAAAGTTTCTAGGCAGGTCTCCCTCCAGAACTTCTTCACGCATCTGGGTTGCTAACCTTTCTAGGGTTAGGCCTCTAAATTATTGTGGCATAGTAGTTCGGGAAGTAATTGTACTTGTTTCATCTTCATCGGCCCTCTCCTGGCGCGAGAGCTCTTGCTGGAGTATATACTGTTGCTGGGGCAGTTGTTGTCACTACAACTCGGGCAGAATCCGTCTGTCTATTTCCTGAGCTCAACCCACTGCCTCTTTAATAATACTATCCAACTCTGACCTAGTCAGTTGCTGGACCTAGTCCTCCATAGGAACATAAGGAGGTTGACTACCTCTTGGTGGATCTTGTCCCTCTACAAAGATGATATGTCGATCTTCTTGATGACTGACCTATTCTCGAGGTCGGTCAAGTCCCGTACTAGTCTGTCTGTCCATCCCTCTGTTAAGTTGATTATCTCTCGGAGGATTTTGTCCTTCTACAGGGATAATTTATCGATCTTCTTCGCATCCTTTATCCTTTTGGCCACTCAATTCGCTCGGTTTCACCTCAACTTGTCCTCGTGATGGTTCCCCAAGAGTTCCTGATAACGACGTCATTGTCGTGTCTTGCGTAGGCAGTGTCTCCCTGGGAGTAAGAGTAGCCGACTGCAGCATTCTTGGTGGTGGATCCGACCCGAATGCCCTCTTTGCCCATGCATCGTCCATTTCCTTCGTCAGGTTCTTAATAGAATTATCTTCTGCATATTTTTTAATTTTTTTTGTGAGAAAATATTAGCCTCTTATAGCTGGTAAAAGGTCAAATTGTCCCACAGACGGCGCCAATTTGCAAACTCTCCTTTTGGTCTAGTTGAATCGAAACCTGCCGACTTGAGCTGTTTGATGTCTCCAATGACCTGCAAAACACTGGGAGGAGTCCCGGCGGAAAACACTCTGACGCTTAGTCAATTCACGCTCAACAATAGTATGACGGTAATGTATTTTTTGCGCATGTATGTGTATTGTGTTTACATAAAAAACTTTGGTACATTTTTATGCTAAGGGCTACGGATGCAAATCCAGATTCCTAGGTCCTAAAGGTGTCTCTGACTATCAAAACGCTTCAACAACTGGATTCTCTATATCCCGGTCCCCATATGGTATAGACTTCCTAGATATAAAGGACCTTTTTTTGTCGCATGTCTTAATCTACGGTTGTTCCCCTGTCGGCAACCTCATCCTACCTAGCCGACCCGCGCCCAGTTGCGCTCGAGTAGATCGACATCCACTCTGACAACCTGCCAAGCTGTGTCCAGTCACGCTATCCCGAGTGCACCGACGTTCACTCTGATACCTATCGAGCTACGTCGTGTCGTAGTATCCTGAGTGGACCGATGTCCACTCTGATACTTGTCGAGCTATGTCGTGTTGCGCTATCTTGAGTGGAATGATGTCCACTCTGATACCTGTCGAGCTACACCGCTCGTTGGATTCCTAGTTAGGAAAAAGATCATCTCATATCTACTTTTTTAACTAACAATGACTGTTATATCTTGAGTCCTCACATTTGTACACTTTCTATAAATAAAGCATTACCTTCCCTCCAACTGCACATCTCTTGGGTCTCGAGGTCACCAACTTGTCCTTCCACACATGCATGCCACAGGTTCTTCGAGGTCGTCACCACGACCTCATTCCTACCTACCTGCGGATCACGAGGTCTCTTCTGTGTCCTAGGTCGGAGGTCTCTCGGTCGCCTAACTACATGACTAATACCCAATCTACCTTAGACTGCCGACCTCAGAGCTACCTGAGCTGCTATCTCAAACCCTAGTCGGCCCTTACAAGAGCCCGATAAACTACAAGCACTAAATAGGATTGAGCTTTCCCAAACCGCCCATGACTGAGCTCACTCCTCTTGGCGGTGAACCGGGCTATTACGGGTGCTATATCAGCAACGACGGTGAAGGCGAGTTTGCTCGAGAATTGAGAGGTTTTATTCTATTTTGTAGTTGTGTTGTGTTTTGTTTTTTTGTAGTTTATGTTTTATTGTTTATCGTTGTCCCCTTTCGTGGGATTGTATCGTATCACATGGTGGATTATTGTAATCCTTTGGGAGCTTTGTTTGTGTTGTCTAGTCCTCTTGGTCACGTGTATAATACTAACGAGAGGATTATAAACTACAATATGTTGCCACAACATGATGTGTGATAGTTGTGGCACCAATCATAATGCGCCACATCATATTGTGGCACCATAATATGGTGCCACATGTGGCACCATAGAATTTCTGATCATTGTAGGGCAATGTTGAGGAAAAGAAGATACATATATATTGGAAATACGCGAACCAACAGTCACCCATCAAAAATATAAAGAAAATAAAATAAAAAACTTGCGGCAGTGAATCCTCGTCAATGACAACTTATCCTATATAAACCCAATCAAGCCGAAGCACAAAAAAGTTAAAGTAATACATATCCAACTTTTAAATCAGCTACTTGCTATTAATAGCAGATGGCATCTTTTCCAATAGAACTAAAAGATAACCGAGCCTTGTCCTCCGATCCAAAACTGAACTTGAGATCATAATCTTCACCCAACAATGAGGTACTGCTGCTTGTAGATGGAAATGAGAAAACGAGAGGTGGAGTTGACTTCTTAACCCCAAATGTATAGGAAGGAATAGTATGCAAATCAATGGAGTGGGACACAGCACTTGGCATGACGGAAGGAGTTGGCGGTTCTGAGAGTACACCCGAACAAGTTGAAACGGGAAAAGTGAAACCAGGGACATTTTCAGAAGACGTTGCAGGAAAAACAGGCTTGCCTACAGATATTGATGGCAGTGAAGGTCTTTTCCCATCAGTTTTCAACATATGTGAGTCAGTTGTGCCAGCTGTTATTGTCACATCTTGCCCGTTACTCAGACGAGGATGAGAGAAAAGCGAACTTTTTTCAGTCTGTCCATGGTTATTGGTGGCAAAAGCATTCTGTAATATGGAAACTATTTGTCAGCAATTACCTAGTAGAATAACATTCAGGCATTATCAAATTCAGTTGAGTATTCAGTAATGAATATGTATAATGTATCATTTGAGGTACAAGTATTGGAGAGCTTATTTGATTGTGTATAGAACTGATAGCTGCACACACATCTTTTCTGTTAAACAATTATGTCGTCACAATTAAGGACACCTGATGATTTCAGAGGGACAGCATCTAATTTTTTTTAACTGCAATCACCTTTTGCAAGTTGAAAGATCTTAAACAATGCAGAGCCACACACAGGTAGGTGGTCATAGATTACCAAAAAATTAAATATAACCTAAACCAAGTGGTAACCGAAAGAAAATTAGTTTTAACATGTTGGCAATGCAGAAAGACACTGAATTACAGTAGAACAAGATTCCACGGTGAATGTTGAAAAGTACTGCAAGAAAGACAAAGTAAATATGGTAACTTTTGGCATCTAGCTGAAAACGAAGTGCGACTTGAGTGGTAAGACGCTTCACCTATAATCGATAGGTCATGGGTTCGAGTCACTGAGGAGGGGATGTGGGACACTATTGAACCTCCTTTTTAAAAAGAAATTTGGCATCAAGCTCAAAGAGATTACTGAAGTGTAAAATGAAAAGAACAAATCCAAATATGAAATAGTTGACTTGTTCCTTTGTTTTGCTTCTTTCATCTTCACATTTAATGTCTACTAGTTACAACACCATTGTATTATTACACGGGTGTTAATTAAAAAATTTAAACTATTTCATTAAAAAATATACTACTTTTTTAAATATGCAATATGGATGTCAAATCAAAGATTACAAAAGACATTTAATATATCATACATGAATGATACAAATAAAAAATTATTAAATTTTAAAATATATCTATAATTTAAGTTGGTAAGTGTTATGTAATCATAAAAGTCATAATGGACAGAAGTCTAGATCTACATAAACTACTCCGAAGCAGAAATTGACACATAGGATTACTAAGCATTAGAAGTTAACCACATAGACTAAGAAAACTTTGCATGTATATGTAGCGACGATAATTATAGGACCCGAGGTTACCTTAGAAACAAACGACGGCATAGGATTGACACCTGGTAGGTCACTAACACAAGTAAACCCAGAACCAAGAGATTTGACTGTTTCAGTGACTGCAGCTTCGACCTCACCCAAACCTTTATCCTCAGAATTCACAAATAAACTGGATTTCCTGCTGTTTTCATTGTAACTGGATTTACTGCTGTTTTTATTGAATCCTACAGAAACATCTGTGTAAGATACATCAGCACTCTTGTTGTGAGCAGCAAGTTCTTCAGCATGTGCTGATCTTATTTTTTCATCATGACTGATGTCAGTGGCCTCAGGAGGAGATTTCCTCCATGCAGTCGCCAACCTCAATTCAGCTTCTTTCTCTTTAGGCGTAGGCTTGTTTCTGTCAAGGTGTTCAAGTATTTTCCTAACTGAATCACTGTAGGCTAAATTTTGATTTGAGATATCCCTATCAGATGAAACCGATGTATTATTTCCTGAACAGTATTTTGAGGCACCACTTGTTTCCCCAATTCCCTGAGTCTTCTCTGTATTCCTTACAAAGCCCCCAAAAGCCGGTTTCACCACTTGTGTAGGATCGTCCTTTGGTGGATTGAATATAGATCCTCTGGGACGGACTTCTGAAGAAAACCTATTCTTGATATGACGAATAGGGCCCACAGATCCATAGCGATCAAAGGTTTCCCTCCTTGAATTTGCCTGAATGTACACAGAAAAGAAAAAGAAAAAA